AGTAAAAAACAAAATCACCGCCGCTGTTAGTACGCCTAGATCTATTAAATGGCGCAACGGATTTTAATGCAGTTTTCAGTAATAGACAGATCAATTCAAGAGGAATATTTATATGTATAATACATAAGTGTTATAATATAGAGCAAGTCGAGAAATTGAAAGATTTCTAATGCATGCAAAGCCAAACAGGTCGCTATTTTTTACGTAGTATAAAACAAAATGGCCGCCGCTGCCTGTTCACTTATATATTTTGAATTACGCAACGGATTTTAATGTAGTTTTCAGTAATAAATAGAGTAATTCAAGAGGAAGATTGTGTATAATAGTTGTACACCCGTGCAAAACCAGAGAGGGTAGCTAGTATAGTGTAAAACAAAATCCGCTGACTGAAGAATCGGTTGTTATCTATTTATACCCATTAAAGATAAGAGTTACTAGATTTTTTTTTTAATATTGTGACATAATTTTAGTATTTTTTTCACATTTTTTTATGATTTGGTATTCTTTATTCTATCAGTTGTCTAGTACCCATAACGCAATGCTTAGCTTGGGACTAGATGGCGCTGTGTAATTTGTCCTGGGTTAACATTATTACCAGTTTCTCCTCCTCATATACTTATTCTATTGAAGGCTAAAATAAATAGAGTTTATATACTATTTAATTTAATAAGGTTTCGTATATAAAACTTCACATCGTAGCGTTGCCTTTTAGAAATATAAGCAGATATAAAATCTTAAAACATACAGGTATAACCTAAGAAGGTGCAGTTTTATTTGGCTTCCAAGAATGAAACCCTAAAATGTTCAACTCAAACGAACAAACTATTCCTTCCTGTGCTCTGTTTGAAACAACCTCACTGGAACGCTACAAAGAAAGTTTCGAGACATATTTTGTTACTACTAGTAATATTTCAGTGACTCCAAAATTCCAATTTTGCAGAAATCGACTTTAAAACAGTATGCTTTAAAGTCGATTTTCAAAAATGTAGCATTTGAGTAAAGATATTTCGGTAGGCGTACGACATGCTGAAGTGATTCTGCATCAGAGGACAGAGAAACGACCTATGTATGACTGCTCTTGACTATTTGGAATTGAAGAAATTTTATCGATACACGTACCTGCGGGAATTGGTGTAGGTTAGAAGGAAAATATTGGACCGACTTCGAAAAAGGAGTTTTGAGTTTTTTTTAGTGACATAATAAAAGCTTATGTAATAATAACAAACTGGTTTTAATTGAATGCCGTTTAACTAAAGTGAGTAATTCGTTATAAGGTAATTGCGTAAGATTTTAGTAATCTACCAGAGTCTGTTCTAAATCTGCCTGAAAAAAGATTCAAATGTTGTTTAAAATAATTTCTCTGTAAAAGTGCTAGCTATAACATTTAAGACTTTGTAAATGATAGTAATGTTTTTTGTAGAAAAAAACTTAAAATTCACACCGCTGACAATATAAGCTGATTGCACTAGGAATGAGTGCGTAGCGGTTTCTATATTGATTATCATTGTGTAATTATTTATTTAAAATAACATCTATCAATAGAGTAATACACAAGTTTCTTGCTCTTCTTCTTGTAATGTTAAAAAAAACATTGACATGTATAATTTATAAATATATCATTAATACGAAATTGACATACTCATATTATAAATAATGTACTTACTTAATATTGACTAACGAATAATAACCAAAATTGACATCTGTTTTGTCTGTTGCATGTCAGAAATGACAAAATGTGATAAACTAATTCTGAATACCTTAAAAACCACATATGTACCAAATTTTAGGCAATAAATATTCATTTCCTTTCATTTCAATGAGTTTACGTTTCGAATGAGTGGTAGAATTAAAATCTTACTTAACTTGGGTTTTATGTATTTGTATGAGTTATGGGTAAGCTGAAGCTTGTATTATGGGTACTAGACCCATAACACGAGCTTTCGCTAGCTTAACTTGGGTCTAGATAGCGCTGTGTGAATGTACATTCATAGTCATAACGATATCACATGGCGTATGGCACTTGGGGGTAATGTACGTTTCTAATAGTGAAAGAATTTTCGAAATCGGATCAATAGAACCGGAGAGCACCAACAAACATACAAACTTTACCTCTTTATAATATTAGCCCAACTCTTGCTCTATAGTATCGGGAATAATGTACCTTTCTAACAGTGAGAGAATCTTTAAAATCGCAGCAGAAGAAACGGATTTTACCGTAAACAAACATACACTTTATATAATATAATATTAGTATATATACAGAGTAAAGAATCGTGGTCAACAAAGAAGTCATGATTTATCTGGTTTCCTGCCTCGTATTCCAAGCACGTAACTATAGGAATAAGAAATCCTAAATAAAGTATTTATATAATCTGATACTTTACATTCTGGTCACGAAGTGGCATTTCGCACGCAATATTAATTGTTAAAAATTTTTGTTTCACTAATTCTTACCCGACTTTATATAGACAGGTAATAATAATAAGACGTAAATGACAAAACATCTATCACGTAAATTAAAAGCTCACAATATATACACTCATTATTTCTTATATATTGTCATTGTTTGGTGATTTTTACCCGCAATGACAAGTCTATCACCCTATCAAAGGAAAAACGGAGATATATATTATACTATATGTCCCGGCAAACGTTGTTTTACCTTAAAATAAAAAAAAATTAGGGGTGGACTACCCCTAACATTTAGGGGGATGAAAAATAGATGTTGGCCGATTCTCAGACCTACTCAATACGCTCACAAAATTTCATGAGAATCCATCAAGCCGATTCGGAGGAGTATGGGAACGAAAACTGTGATTTGAGAATTTTATATATAAGATATACATAAAAAAAACAATAATCACTACATAAAACAAAGTCGCTGTCGCTGTCTGTCCGTCATTATGTATGCTTAAATCTTTAAAACTACGCAACGGATTTTTAGGTGTTTTTTTTAACAGATAGAGTGATTCTAGAGGAAGGTTTATATGTATAATACATGTACATCCGGGCGAAGCCGGGACAGGTAGCTAGTAATAATAATAATCTTGGGACATGACGACCTCGGTGGTACAGCGGTCTAGCACACCGCTTTCCATCCGATGGTCGCGGGTTCGATTCCTCGCACGGCACAAACATTTGTATTCATGAGTATGATTGATTTGTCTGGGTGTTTTCTATGTATAATATGTATGTATGTACAAAAAAAAATATCTATGTATTTGTATCAGTTATCTAGTACCCATAACACAAGCTTTAGCTAGCTTAACTTAGGTCTAGATGGCGCTGTGTGAATTGTCCTGAGATTATTATTATTATCTTGGGACATATAGTAATATAAACCTTCCTTTTAAATCACTATATCTATTGTTGAAAACTCCATTAAATACATTTGGCAATTTAAAAAATATAAGTGAACAGACAACGATGGCGATTTACAATTATTGAAACTATTATTTATATTTAGTTACTTGAAGTGCCCGCGATTTTACCCACTTTAAATTTCTATATAAAATATAGTCTATTAAATATTGTAACGGGTGAAAACTGTGATTGGTACAGTTTATGCTGTAAATAATATAAATGACGTAGTGGAGTAACTTGAAACAGTCATGCTCGCTATAAAGTTCAAACTTGTGGCGGCGTGGTGGGCCGGGTCGATGTGCTCCCTCTAATATGGTTGAGTGCAATGATGGCTGGCTCATCCGTCATACTCGTGAACGGGTGCTGCTTGTGGGGACTGGTCTGTTCAGGTTGCGTACACTGATTAGATTTTTTTTTTTTTTTTCAATAGCATATGCTGGTGGTCACTCTATTCTCCCAAATTTGAATTTAAAATAAAATTGTATTATTGTAAATATGTACAACAGTAAAAAAAATACGAGCTGTTTCTTGTCAGTTCATCTCATCTCGAAATCATTCCGAACTGACGGTAGATTTCACGTATCATAAGAGTCAGTAATAGACCTATATGAATAAAGATATTTTGAATTTGAATTTGAGTCTACGTGTTATTCAGACGTATAAGCTATATATCAGAAAAGTTTCATCAAAATGCGTTCAGTAGTTTTTCCGTGAAGGAGTAACAAACATCAATATTTACAAACTTTCGCATTTATAATATGAATAAGATTGAAGTTCAGTTACTTTTAATAATTTATAGTAGTAGAAAGTAATATACAAATATTACAAAAAATTGCAGGTTAATAAATTATCTCGACTCTCAATATATAGCAAGAATAAGTTTATTTGCGGACAACGTTATAATTTCTTTTTCATACTGCTTTCTTGATATATGATAGCGTAGCAGCTTTTGTATTGATTGCCGCATGCATCCTCATGTAAAGTGCGAATACTGTAACTACCATATAGTAATTTTAAGTAGCTATGACGAGGTCGAGTGGAGTGAGTAGTCATGCTTACTAAAATATCCAGATATGTAGCGGTGTGGTGGACCGGGTCTTTGGGCTCCCTAAAATATGGTCGAGCGCAGTGATGGCTGGCTCATCCGTCATACTCGTGAACGAGTGCTGCTTGTAGGGACTGGTCTGCTCTTATCACTACGACTGATTTAATCTTATTGTGTTTTTATATTTGAACCTAAATAAATTAGTGCTGGTTGGTAGTTTGTATTCACACGTTTCGACTTGTAAAATGTGAACTTACAAGGACTGTTTAAAACAGCGACTAACAAGTTTCTTGCTTATTCTTCTTATGATGAGACGGTTTCCCGAATGAGCGGTAGATTAAAAAAAAATTGTTGACTATTCAAGTGTGCTTAAATGAAGTTTATTTGAAAAAATGATTTTTTATTCTATTCTATTTATAAGACACAGTTACGTAAGTACAGTAAGACAAATTCAATATTGTCTACTAAGCACTGCTGTGTCTAAACTGTGTCACATAAATGCAATTATTATTTTCATGTATCTAGGTAACTGTGTCCCATACTATTCTATTCTATTAGAATAGTTAAAAATATATTTTTTTTGTTGTTACAGGTTGACCGCTAGGACGGTGAGCGGCGACAGCTTGATGGGGCGGTGACGCAGCATGCGCCGAGTGCCGCTCGCCGCTGTACTGCGGCTGCTCTTGCTGGCAGGTGAGTACTAACAATTAGTTAGGTTCAATTAGTTTAGTAATGTTTCTTAACAGTTTAGTAAGGCTTCCAAAACAGTAAACCCGGCGGTTATTGCCCTCGAAGTTGATGCCGGGACCCCGAGGCCCCAATCTTCATCTCTCTAGAGGTGCGGATGACCAGTGTATATAGTTAGTTCCCGTGACTGCTGCCCACGTGTATGCTGTGGTAATAGAATAGTGTAGAAAATTCTTTATCCAAATAAATTAAAATTTAATGATAATACGATGATAGTATTATCTGTAAGTAATTTAGTACTTGTGACGTTCTGTCCAAGATTATACATATTACTAGCTTTGGCCCGCGGCTTCGCTCGTGTTAATTTATCCCCTTAGGGATGGAATTTATCAAAATCCTTTCTTAGGGGATGCCTACGTCATAGTAGCTTTATGCATGCAAAGTCTCAGCCTGATCGGTTTAAGATTGACAGAGTTTCATATAAACTTTCATCCCCTATTTTATCCTTTTTGGGGATAGAATTAATCAAAATCCTTTCTTAGTGGTTGCCTACGTCATAACATCTACCTGCATGACAAATTTCAGCCCAATCCGTCCAGTGGTTTGGGCTGTGCGTTGATAGATCACTATGTCAGTCACCTTTGAGTTATATATATTTAAACTTGTAATTTTATTTTGCTTAGTAAACTGAACTTCAATGTTAATATCGACTTATGTATGTTGACGATATGTATGTATGTTGACGACTTCGGTGGTCTAGCGGTCTAGCACACCACTTTACGACCGATGGTCGCGTGTTCGATTCCTCGCACGGCACAAACATTCGTGTTCATAAGTATGATTGTTTGTATCAGTCTGGGTATTTTCTATGTATAATATGTATGTATTTACAAAAAAATATCTATGTATATGTATCAGTTATCTAGTACTCATAACACAAGCTTTAACTAGCTTAACTTGGGTCTAGATGGCGCTGCGTGAATTGTCCTGAGATTATTATTATTATTATTAATATCATTTAAATTAAATAATGTAATACAATAATATTTTCACAAAGTGCCTCTAAATCTTTTTATTTATGGCAATATAGCGTCACAGCATCTAATTTATGTAAACATTATGACACTAGGCATCAATTATAAGAAGACCTCCCACTTTTCAGCGTTTATTCAGTGGTTTAAGGAAATTTTAAGAAGAAAATGAGGGAGTAGAGATCGAATTGCGTTGGCGGTAATACAAGCGTCGGCAGTAGGGTTACCAAATCGTTTTTATTGTAACGGGACAGACTTTCAAGAATGTTTAAAAATACTGATTTTAATTTTAATGAAGGTCAAATAGATTTTAATGTATTTTTTGTTTTTTTCTTCTTGTTGTTTACAGTATATAAATTCATATTCATAGCTACACAAGTAAGAGAGAATAACCATGATATTAATCAAAAACAAAGAGAAGTGAAGCAAAAACTTTGTTGTCCTTTTTACGGAAATTACGCGGACCGAGGAGTATGAAATTTAGTACGCGTATAGTTTATATAGACGTGAAGTGCAGAATGCTATTATTCTTTTTAAATCATGCATAAAAAATACATCAAATCAATAAAAAAACATTACACACACTACCATTTACCAGAGTTTCAAATTAGGTTACAAAAAACATTACTACGGATGTATGTACTTTGTATGTATGTATGATTGTAAATATATTCTTATATGTGTATATATAAGATTATAAAAATTTTTGGATTTCGTATATATACTCATATTAATAACATTTCTTTAATATTGTTACCACTGTTACATCTCTATCAGACGGAAATCTAAACGCTCCTCTAGGAGAAAAAGATGAGCTCGCTTTTCAGTGATAAGGCCGCCTGTTGTTACCTCTTCGTCTTGTTTATTACTGTGTTTCTTATCATTTTATACACAATTGTGTATGTATCTGTATTTTCTGTGAGAGGAACAATAAAGAGTTTCATTTATTCATTCACTAATTCATACTATATATTTTCAAAAACACGCATAGTTTTTGACAATAGAACCTAAATGTTGTTTAAATTTAGAATTTGAAATTATTATGGTCGAATTTCAACCACTGGGTAACTAGTTTTTATAAGTCACGGCTTGTCCTCGTACAATATTTATGTAAGTAGTATGGAATATCCGGAAGAATACAGCACGGTTGGTAACTGTAGTCGGTAAACACATCAATTATGTCTGTTTTATTTGGAGAATGTTCTTACTCCGTTTGTTTGCAAATTAGATTTGGATTACTATTGTACTTTGATCATAAATGTCACGATACAGTCAACGTTTCATTTTTAAATCTGATTTAATTATTTTTTATTAAACGGTAATTGCGTATTTGCACTAGCTGTGCCTGCGCCTCCGTCTGCATTTTATAGTGACCTTGATCAAATAAAGTAATAATCAGTTATATAAGCGATTCTAAAATTTTCATATTTCTAGCTTCAAAAATGTAAATTTTCCATACAAACTCATCTCATTACAATTTTCGGAAAACTGTCTCATCACAATAAGAATGAGCAAGAGACTTGCGTGTTGCAAGTTTACAAGCAAACAATCATACTCATGAATACAAATGTCTGTGCCGTGCGAGAAATCGAACCCGCAACCATTGGAAGAAAAGCGATATCAGATTGATGATAAAGACATTCAGCGATGGACCTAATCAGATAGGTATTCGTATTTTATCCTTATTCCACGAGTCGTAAAAGTGTATATAGTTTCTCTTTCCCTCGGCTTCATTCCTGCCAGTTATCAGAATCTGAAAACTGTAAAATTAATGTGTCTGCTACTCCGCCTAGTCTATTCTCTCTTGCCTAATGGATATTATATTTTAGCACACCTAGATTGAACATATTATTTTCTGGAATAGAATAGACAAGAAATTAATCAGTTCAATTATTTACGATCTAGCTGGATATATCGGCGTCGCACGAGTTTGAATTCTATGCATAATATATTTTAAATACAATAACGTGTGTGTTCGTCTACTTGTTATATTTTCGAGACAAACAGTCCAATAGAATTTGATAAAATTAGACTTGGAGACAGATTTTTATCTCAAAAGTTTATTGTGTCTCGAATAAATTTAATACAAAATAGTACAGCATTTGGAGTGTTAGCAGTGTCATCTGCACTCACTCACTCTCTATCATCCGATGAAACTATATAGGCCAGCTATAGCTAACAGTATTAGAATAGTTCGAAATAAAAAACATTATTAGCTAAATAGATAGAATATATTATATTTATATAAAAAAAACATCTATTCAAAAGAGCAACACACAAGTTTCTTGCTCATTCTTCTTGTGATGAATTTGCATTCCGAATGAGTGGTAGAATCAAAATCTGACTATTCAAAAGTGCTTGTAATAAAATCATTTGAATAAAGATTATTTCTATTTCTATTAATTGAATAAAGGTTAAATTAATTTCTATTAATTTCTATTTCTATTTCTATTAATAAACTGAAACCCACAATAGCAGCTTTCTGACCTCACGGTACGTAATTTTTCATGATTTCATTTATATAGAAGTTATTGATTACTTTGCACTCTCAGATTATGAAGGGTAGCTTCATTTCATAATCTTGAAGATTTTTAGATGAATTACTCGGAGTCACACGTTATTGAAATGATAAAGTCTTGAGGGAAATACGGCTTTCAAAATGGTACGTACAAGATTACAGCGAGATTCGTTCTCGGTTTAATATAATGTTGTACACAATGCTTGGATTTTGTATGATGGAGTGGGAAAATGTACAGAAAATTACTGGAAACTAACGCTGTTTTTATTCAATTCAGTTTAAATTTAATTCAAAATATCTCTCATGTAGGTTCATTACACACTCCTATGATGATAATGACATGTCAAATCCGTCAGTTCGGAATGATTTCGAGATGAGAAGAACTGACAAGAAACTCAGCTCGTATTCTTTTCAAATAAATGTTGTACATGTTTACAATAATACAGATTCATTTTAAATTCAAATTTGGAAGAATATAGTGACCACCAGCATATGCTATTGCAAAGGCAAATAGTCTAATCAGTGTTCGTAACCCGAACAGACCAGTCTCCACAAACTGGATTTATGATTTATATGGAAACTAGGTATATGTGTATAAACCTTCCTCTTTACGATATGTATGTATATAAACCTTTACGGTATGTATGTATATAAACCTTCCGCTTGAATCACTCTATCTATTTAAAAAAACCGCTTCAATATCCGTTGCGTAGTTTTAAAGATTTAAGCATACATAGGGACAGACAGTGACAGCGACTTTGTTTTATACTATGTAATGATTATATTAGTAATATTATAAACGCGAAAGATTGTGAGTATGAATGAATGGATGTTTGTTAGTCTTTCACGCAAAAATTATACAACGGATTTTGATGAAATTTTACAGTAATATACAACTTTGTTTTTATCTGTTTATGATCTTTATTTACCATAAAATTATTCGTGTTAAGACCCGGTTAACGATATAAATAATGTATATTAAACTCGAAAGTTAAATATATAACTATTGATATTATAACATCTTATTAATATTATAAACGAGATACGATATTGTGTGTGAGTATGAATGGACGTTTGTTGTGTTATAAAAAAAAAAAAGTTCGTGAGTATGAATGGATGTTTGTTACTCTTTCACGCATAAACTACTGAACGGTGTTTGATGAAACTTTACAGTAATATAACTTATACTTCAATATAACATTTGCGACGAAACCGCAGGAACAGCTAGTGTTAAATATAACGTGAATTGAAATGTATGTAGTATCATTAATATTTTATTTTTTAAATAAGAATCGTTTTTAACAAATCCATCTAAAATGTCATCCGCACTAAGTTACATCTCTTGGGGTATAACTTGAAGCCAGCTCTTTCAAGTTAGGGGTGAACTTTGAAAAACTGGTATGTGAATACAGTCGGAATTGTTACAGAGGAGTCGAACAAAAACTCCTATAGAGTTGACGTGCGAACAAAGTTCCAAGTGAAATAGATGGGAGCAGTCACGCTATGAATATTCAATGCTCAATATTCTGTAGTTTAAGTATTTCAAGTTAAGTCTTTGATATGTGAAGGGTTTCACGAGTCATCATGTACAAAAGAATTCGGTTATTACCTTTAGAAAAGTATATCTTTGATATGAAAAATGGTTAAGAAGTTAATGGTCCTTTTTATAGAGAATGTTAAGTTTGAAACTATGTAGTTTTTCCTCCATACATCTTAACTTCTTACACAGACTGATATCTCGGAAAAATAATAATGACTCTGGATAATTCACACATCGCCATCTAGTCCCAAGCAAAGCAGATCATGCTTTATTGCTACTAAGTGATACAAATACTTAGATACATTGTTTTCTAAATAACATACATAATATTATTTGATTGCACTAAGAATAAGTGCGTAAGGTCTCTATACTTATCATCGCGTGCCTCGTACTTGTTATTGTGACGGTAGGGGAAAAAATAAAATTATAATGTAAAAAATTTAACATTCATAAGCGGCTAAAATGTCCTACATGAATAAATGACTTTTGAATTCGAATTTGAATTTGTGATTATTTATTTTAAAATATATGACTATTCAAAAGTGTTTGTATTGAATTAATTTGAATAAAGATTATTTCCAATCTATACTATTTATGGACCACCTGGTTTGTACTGTACTCTGGAAAGAATCGAACCCGCGACCATCGAAAAATAAGGCAATGTTTCTGAAACATTCAGTTTCTAATTTAATTCATCTTGTCTTATAAATTATACACGCGAAAGTTTGTGAATATCGATGGATGTTTGTTACTCTTTTACGAAGAAACTACTGATCGGATTTTGATGAAAATTTACAGTAATATAGCTTATACATCAGAATAACACTTAGGCTATAAATTTTGCGCGGGTACAGCTAGTACCTATACTTTATTACATATAATTAGCACACAGCTTATACGGAAGAAGTTATAAGAACTTCTGTGCTTTAAAATGACCTAGATAACTTTAGCACAAAAACTTTGTATAAAGAGTCTTTTGTCTTATTCAAGTCTAAGTTTTAATAAGGTTGTAAATTTGCTCATTAAATTTTATAATTTATTCCAGTCTTTCGAGTATAGAAAACTAATATAGACTAGATAATAACAAAATTGACGAATAGATAATCAACTTATTCTAGCTCTGGAAAAGTTTTATTATTTTCGATCAAGTTTTCTTTAAAATGATATGAAGTGACAAGATATTCTAATAGTTTAATTGGTGTTGTAGATTTTAGTTAAAAGGGCTAAGATTTAGATAAATGTTAACACCAAAGTTCATATTTCAATCTGGTATATTCATATCTACCAGGTTGATTCTGGTATATCATTTTCTATATAATTTTGTGTCTGGGTGAACCCGCGGGCACAGCTAGTACCTCACAAAAAGGAACTCATTTAAATCTATTTGCATTCTATTTTTAGACCCATCAAAAGTACATTTAGTTTATAATAATAATATCAGGACAATTCACACAGCGCCATATATATGTATAGAAAACATCCCGACCGATACAAACAATCATTCTCATGAATACAAAAGTTTGTGCCATGCAAGGAATTGAACCCACGACCATTGAAAGCAAGGCGGTGTGCTAAACCGCTAGACCACCAAGGCCATCTGAGTAAATAAAGTCTATAATAACACATTTTTCTTCATCAGGTGGCGCCAACTTTGTCAATCCGTACAATAGTGACGCTGTTGACCTCAACCAAGTATGGGTGGACATACCAATGTCGCTCGTTGCACTTGGCGGCGATGTACGAATACACGTCCACGGCGTATCCGGCACTTCCTCGCTGAGGGTCCAGCTCGCACGAGAAGACGACGACGGCAAACTCCAACTTGCTACCATCCCCCTCGCTCTCGACTCGGAGAGCCGGATGACCCTCCCCTGCGGATATTTCTCAAGAGGGGGCACTTATTATCTAGAAATAATATCCGATGCTAAAGATAACTTCGTGGAGGACTATGATGCTACTAATTCTAGTGACAATTTTAGAGTCAAGAGAGATGATGGTGGGATAATAGAAACTGGTGATAGTGTTGTCAAGTCTTGGAAGTTCGATGTGTTGTGGCCTTCAGCCAAGTTGGATGTGACTCCGGAGCAGATTCAGACGTACCCTGAGAGGCAGGTGACTGCTATCCTAGAGTTTCCGAGGGTAGTGTGTACCCCTGTGGAGTCGAGTGCAGACTTTTGGTTAGAACTGTTGTATTGTGGACATTCTAGTGGTGGTGCTGTGTTATGTGATGGCAAGAATACGAGCTCGCATGCTCACGTCTTATATTCTGAACAGGTTAGTCTATTCATTTAGTTCTTAGATATAATTTCCAATATCTTTGTGATCTAGGGGTGTGATTAAGAAAACCGCTTTAGTTCCGACCGATCGCTCCCCTGTCCAATTAAAACTGTGATCGAAATTACGACGGCCCGAGGTTCAAACTCCTAGCGGTGCCCTCATACTAAAGTCAAATCCGTCAGGCAGGAGTTGCCTTCCAGCCGCTCCATGAGTCCTTCCGCGATTTTGGAATGCCATCTACAATAGCCCCCTATCGTATCGTTCGGTGAAGCTGTAAAGGCCAGCGGCGCCAACAGCATTAGAGTAGTTCTAAGAAAGCAGACATCACGTCATCATGTGACAACAGTGGTATTCGATCCGAGCGACTAAGGTAGCAAGTCCTCATACCCTGTAAGTGCCCTGCTATCTATTATCATTGAAAATAAAACAATGATTACAAAGCTATTTGAGGATGAAATAGGTAAGTCAAAGGTACCCACGCAGACTATGAAAATACCGCAAAATTGTTACCTATACAGAAGATATTGGCTAATGGCTGGATCACTTCCAGATGCACGGGTTTCCTGGCAGAAGAACGATGACGCTGCGTTGTGAGCTATTCGGGCAGGCTGGAGACTATGCGTTGACCTTAAGGCCAGCAGCTGCAGCTGGTCCACAAGACTTGGCAGCTGCATTTATTAAGGTATGTGGAATATAGAATTAGTTCATTCATCCAATCATAATTTTGTTCATGATTATCTATACATTAATATGTTGAATAATAATATCTCCTACCCACCAAGTCCCAAGCTAAGCAGAACTTGTGAAAATACATATTATACATAGATAATGCCCAGACCGATACAAACAATAATACTCATGAATACAAATGTTTGTACCGTGCGAGAAATGGAACCCACGACCATCGGAGGTAAACCGCTAGACCACCGAGGCCGTCAGTCATTAGTGTGAATGAATGTATAATAATGATTAATAATAATTATGTTATGTATTAAGTTGGATGATGTTTTTTTTAATGTCATCACATTAAGAAAGATATCGTTCAACGTAGATCTACGTATACTGTTTTTTTTTAATGTAACTGGAATGGGAAACATGCTTTTGGATCACCTGATGGAAAATATTGTCATATAACAAACTTGTCGATGACTCCGATATAATAATAATAATAATATATAATAATAATAATAACAACGTCGTCTCCATATATTTTTTTATACGGTGATAAACCACGGGAATCATGAAGTTGATATAGAAACCTTCAAGAAAAGACCTTATTCCTTTTTAAAAGGAATGTTTACTCCAAAATCATGGGTAATCATTTACCATTGAGCCGCAAGTTTTTTTCATAAGCTCATATACATTTCGCTGGGTATATTTTTATCAACTCATATTTTGCTACGTAATTTTTTACGGCAGTGTCCTGTCTCCATATATTTATATATCGTAGGAATAATATATTAATATTGCAATTCTATACGAAAGACAATGATAGAATGATACAATAAACAGTATATAATAATGACCTAAAAATATAAATTAAAAACAAAAAAATATCCAATTTCGGTCGGAATCACTTTCTACGACGGAAGGTATTTCCAGATTAAACGATCCGTCACGATATAGTGACATCTGCACCTTCAAGAAAAGACCTTATTGCCGAAAAAACACGTAAAAACATGCCACTCGCGCTGCCAGTCCTTTGACTCGCGCACGAAAAACCGACAATCGAGGGAGCGCCGGGCAGCGCGAGTGGCAGCGCCAATGGCATGGGGAGTGTTTCCACTCGTGTTTACACTCTCGCGCTGCTCACTCCCTGCCCACACGGGCTGAGTGTAAATTAGGCATAAAGGCCAGCTGCGGCCAACAGCATTAGAGTCCGAAAAAAAACTAAGACGTCGATGAACGACAATGCTTTAATTGCCATTTAAATTGCTATTGTGAAGAAATAAATCAAATTACGAATAGTTCATTTCTAAAGTAGTCAAAATATGATATGTTAAACTATAGAATGTTCATAGCCGATCGTCGAAAAAGGTTCGACCGGGTTATTTTCCGGCATCTCTTCATAAAGGTCACCGCGTATAAAATGCTCGATAAATATTTAGTTGGGCGCAAGTTAGTCCATATTTTATTCGACGCGCCTCACCCTCTATTCGGTTTCAAAATATTTATGGCCAGTGTATTTAATTCGTACAAAAACTCCTTGCCCAGTAAAAGGTATTCTACGTTTATTGAGATTCATTGCTTTTAGTACTAATAGAATACGGAAATATTTTATGGGGCTTTTTCTGTTGAATGCCGTGTTCGTCAAACCATAAACAATTTTATGTATTTCGTTGATATTTTTTGAACAAGAAATAGAATAGAATAGAATAGAATAGAATAGAATAGAGAATAGAATAGAATAGAATAGAATAGAATAGAATAGAAGAATAGAATAGAATAGAATAGAATAGAATAGAATAGAATAGAATAGAATAGAATAGAATAGAAAATAATTTCTTCACATAAACTTAAGCACTTTTGAATAGTCAACATTTTTTTAAATCTACCGCTTATTCGGAAAGCTGTCTCATCACAAGAAGAATAAGCAAGAAACTTGTGTGTTGCTCTTTTAAACAATCCTTGTAAGTTCACATTTTACAAGTCGAAACGTGTGAATACAAACTACCAACCAGCACTAATTTATTTAGGCTCAAATATAAAAACACAATAAGATTAAATCAGTCGTAGTTATAGGAGCAGACTAGTCCCTACAAGCAGCACTCGTTCACGAGTATGACGGATGAGCCAGCCATCACTGCGCTCGACCATATTTTAGGGAGCCCAAAGACCCCGCCCACTACGCCGCCACATTTTAGTGAGCATGACTACTCAATCCACTCGACCACGTCACAGCTACAAAAATTACTATATGGTAGTTACAGTATTCGCACTTTACATGAGGGCATGCATCCTCATGCATCCTCTGTAACAATAAATACAATGCAATCAATACAAAAGCCAAAATGCTAGATTTATTCGCTGAGAGTCTTGTCTTGTATTCGTATTTTTTATATAACAGAAATGGAAAACTGACTAATGGTCTGCTTGAATCTCCAGTTACAAGTAAAAGAAAAATGGTTGTATCTTTGATAACTCTTAATCTAGGAGTTGTATAGAATTAAGCATCGTAATATGCAACTAAAGTATAAACAAAATTGTGTAAATCGTAAAATTGATTTCTATAATCAATATCCTAAGGTCATAAATAGAAAAACATATATGAATGTTATATGCATGATATACCACCATGCCAGGCCATGATTAGCGAGCCCTACGGATATCACGTTATCATATGACGACCGTGATACTCATGCGTTACAATTTCGGAGGACCAAAATGTTATGCACTTGAGAAGAAAAGTGTAAAAAAAGTAAGTGAGAACAGGCAGTGAAAATAGAGAATTACTATCTTACTAATACTATAAACGCGGTAGTTTGTGAGTATGGAGGGATGGACGTTACTCTTTCACGTAAAAACTATGAATGGATTTTAATAAAACTTTACAATAATATAGCTTATACATTAGAATAACACATAGTCTACAAATTTCAAGCGGATGAAACCATAGGCAGCTGCTATTAATATAATTTATAGATATACTTACTAAACTGTCGTCATATATTAAATATTTCTTTAACATCTTATTATAAAATAAATGAATATTCGCATTCCAATTTTAAAATTAAAAATATTACATATATTATCAAGGAGTTTTATTCGAAATTCAAATAGATGCTTATTCGTCTATTTGAATTTCGATTGCGTCATAAGCAGCCAGGTAATTATTGAGCAAGTAATCACTACGTTTTTACGATATCTGTAAACTGCTATAACATTGGTCTGTATAGAGGGTCATTATTAATGGTAATTCGCTTCATAACACCATATTTTTTTAAGCATATGTGGTATTTACCTTTCTCAATGTTTTGACTAGGTTGCACTAACCGTAGTTACGAGCTCCCTTAGTCTAATTTTTATCGAATAAAATAGAACGAAGTATATATTTATTCAAAGTTGTTATAAGAACACTTACGTATACGTTACGTTTGTACAGTATTTTTTTTATTCTTCCGCCACATTCGGAATACAGATTCTGTCTTCACTTTTGCTTTTTCATCTGAATAACACAACACTCAACAAAAACGGCAATAAAAATTGTGACTTATTCCCTATATCTTTAAATTGATATTCAAATAAAACAAGTTGATATAAAATATTTTATCAGTATAGAAAACTTTGCAATTCTCATTGTGTTTTCTTTTAAAATTCGCTCAAAACTCTGAAGTTATTATCATTATATTTTACGCAGCCATTACTTAACTTTGTGGGTAAGCAATCTGCATAAAAGTTTATTTGTAATAAATGAGTACTAGAATGGCGGTTGGTTTATTATTTTTTTCTTTACAACGCTTATTTTTATTAGGCACATAAAACAGCAAGACTACATTTACCTTATGAGATAGGTAAAGGAACACAGACCATACAGCTTTATAATAATTATATGAGTATCGTCACGCGCTACACGTGTGGAGAATAAAATGTTTCTTTTTTAATTACTTTCATGTATAGAATCAGCGAGCCTATCCGGATTCTTTATGCTATACACCATGGAGCATTATGTTGATAAGATTTGATACTAACTGGCCTTATGAAATCTCAAAATTACTGTTAATACAGGCTAAAATTTTATTCAAAATCAAATGATTCCATAGGTTTTTAGAATGAATATATTGTTCTAAGTGACGCGAGACTTTTGAATTTGATATATAGTTTTTTCAAATTTATAAAGTTATAAAAATAATTCGATCCATTTAGGCCAAATTGTATCCTCGCCAAAACGAAATTTCGATATTTAAAGAAAAGTTAAATGTATTCCAAATTCAAATTAAAATAATATATAACAAATATGTTCGCGCCAATTTTTGAATACTCGTTTAATAAATTAAATGGTCGTAAAAATAACGACCGATTGCCATAGAAGAAAAGAAGAAGAAGAAGAATAAATTACAATTCTTATTTATTAGCATAATTATTGAATTAAATTAATTATTAATTGTGTTTTAAATGAATTTAAAGCCAGTTTAGAAAATACTCAAATATATAATTGTACAACTAAAATATTTTTTTTTTCTGAAAAGCAATGTATCATATTTTTTATACAAGTAGTGTGAATAATTTTGTTGTATGTTCATAACCATTTCTATTGTGAATAGAATAGAATAGAATAAAATTCTTTATTCAAATAAACTTACACGGAAGTACTTTTGAATAATTATTACTCCTCGGACGACCTCGGTGGTCTAGTGATTTAGCACACCGCTTTACCTCCGATGGTCACGGGTTCGATGCCACGCACGGCACAAACATTTGTATTCATGAGTATGATTGTTTGTGTCGGTCTGGGTGTTTTCTATGTATAATATGTAAGTATTTACGAAAAAAAATATATCTATGTATTTGTATCAGTTGTCTAGTACCCATAACACAAGCTTTAGCTTGCTTAACTTGGGTCTAGATGGCGCTGTGTGAATTGTCCTGAGATTATTATTATTATTTTTGTAATCTACCGTTCATTTGGAAAGCTGTCTCATCACAAGAAGAACGTGCAAAAAACTTGCGCGTTGTTTTTTTTAATACAACAAACACTTTTATTGAATCTTAACTATAAATAAAGCGATGTAAATACTTCAAACAGAGAAACTTTGTATTTGTATTCATGAGTATGATTATTTGTATTGGTCTGGGTGTTTTCTATGTATATTACGTATATATTTACAAAAAAAAAAATCTATATCAGTTGTCTAGTACCCATAACGCAAGCTCTGTTTACCGTGGGACTAGATGGGGCTGTGTTAATTATTATTTATTTATATGTAGGTACATATGTATATCTGTTACATTCACACAAATGTAATATTTCATATTCTTGTTCTTTCTCTCTTATCCAGTTTAATATTTTCTTTTTATGCAGGCGGATTGGTCAGAACAATTTGTTCTGAATGTCCACGGCGGTTCAGTGCTGCCGTGCGGTGACGGGGTACGGGTTCTGTTCCAGTATCCGGAGTGCGTGCTCGATGGTGCTGATAGAGTCAGGGTTTTTGGTCGTGATGCAGACAGGCTCCGATACGTGGCTGAAAGACGGGTCAGAAGGTAAGATCATGTGGTTCTACACTAGTTTTTAAACGCGACTTCGATTGCGTTCAGAGACATACTGATTAAAAAGAATTTAAGTGTGTCTATGCCTTTTTACGATACGTGTTAAATTTTATTGCCAATGTTTGTGTTTAAAAAACATTGCATAAAAATGGAATTTGTTGATGTGGTTATAAATGAACTAGCTAGTGTGTATGTTGGAATAGAACAAAAGTCGATTTAGCGGTATGCAATTAAAGTTTTTCAAAGTTATATTCATTACATTGATCACTTTAGCTTTAAACCAATCAAACGAATCATGGTATGATTATAAGAGGTCTGGCCAACATTGATTTAAATTTATTTTAAAGTGATCATAGATTAAGAATTTCAATTCTAAACGGTTATTAGAATATTATGGGAATAAATTAAAAGGTTAGCATGATATAAAGAAAAAATAATAAGAGCACTGGCCTTATGTCTGTGGGGGTTTTTTTTTATTAAAATAAATGTTTTCCTTCATGCCTACATGAAGGAAAACATGTAGGTATATATATAACAGGCCAAAATAAAGGGTTTTGGTAATGCCAGTTTGGTTAGGCGAGCACAATAGATCTATGTAGGTCGCAGTGCTACAGGTGCTACAAACATCTGACAATAGCCCAACAACCCAATAAAAAAAAATGCCAGTAACGGATGTTTTTGGGTTCTTGTTCGTAACATAAAAATGTGCTGATACGATATTGAAACCTTCAAGAAAAGAGCTTATTCCTTTTTAAAAGGCCGACAACGTATTTGCAATTCCTTTGGTGTTGCGGGTGCTCATGAGCGGTGGTAATCATTTCCCATCAGGTAAGCCGCAAGCGCGTTTGTCCCCTGTGAAAGAAAAATGCTGTATATCATGAAAAAAAAAACAAAAATGTTTATTTCTTTAAAAAACAATCTAAATATATATAACTCAAAGGTGACTGACATAGTGATCTATCACCGCACAGCCCAAACCACTGGACGAATCGGACTGAAGTTTAGCATGCAAGTAGATGTCATGACGTAGGCATCCGCAAAGAAAGGATTTTGATTAATTCTACCCCCAAGGAGATAAAATAGGGGGTGAAAGTTTGTATGAAACTTTGTCATAGACTTTGCATGCATAAAGATATTATGACTTAGGCATTCCCTAAGAAAGGATTTTGATAAATTCCACCCCTAAGGGGATAAATTAACGCGAGCGAAGCCGCGGGCAAAAGCTAGTTCAGTTATAATAACACAGTGTTGAGATGATCTAGTAAGCATAGCATAACAATATATCCGTAGCGCTCCCGAATATACTACGTACATTCCACTCTTCTATATGCATTGATATATATGGTTTTTTAAAGATTATTTAAGACATTACCGCTAAAAAGAATCCATTTATCGTATCTCCTCAGTTTCAAGACACTCTCCTTGATGTGAAGCCAAATCTCGAGGTCCTTGGCGTTAATATATCCAGTGAAGTTCAGTTTTGCGGTCATTTGGAGGACAAGGCTAAAATAGCCTCAAAAAAGCTTGGTGTGCTCAGTAGAGTAAGACGGTATTTCACGGCGGCCCATCGCTTGCAATTATACAAGGCGCAGATCCGGCCGCATATGGAATACTGTTCTCATCTCTGGGCGGGAGCACCACAATACCAGCTACTTCCATTTGACCGCATTCAGAACCGAGCAGCCAGAATCATTGGTAATCAACGTCTATGTGACAGACTCGACCCATTGGCTTTGCGGCGAGATATTGCATCTCTGTGCATTTCCTACCGCATATATCACGGGGAGTGTTCTTCGGATTAAAAGCTGCTGAGTTCACCACCGTACCACCCGCCAGAAACTGAAATACCATCCTGATCATCTGGATGAATGGCGGTCTTCCACAGTACGGTTTTCTAGAAATGCCCCGCACAACCACATGGAATCACCTTCCAGCAATGGTATTTCCGAACCGATACGATATTGAAACCTTCAAGAAAAGAGCTTATTCCTTTTTTTTATAATTGCCGGTAATCTACAACATTAGCCGCAGGTTCGTTTTTTTATAAAAAAAATCCGTATTTTTAATAATTGCCACTAATAATTTTATTATTAAGTAAATGTTTTCCTTCATGTAGGGGTCAACATACAGCGTCATTCGACTGTCGACTGTTCAGTGAACGTTACCCAGAGTACTGCTTCGTGTATGTGTCTCAGGCTGTAACAGGGGCGGTTGCTGATGTGAGGATGGACTGCTTACCAACATCTCCACTCTCAGGTCAGTAAAGAACCATAGCTAGTGGTTTGGTGATAGAGAAACTAACTCAGATTGTTACTGTGATAAATATACTAATATACATATATAACTATACAAGAGATAAATATATAATAATAATAATAATCTCAAGACAATTCACACAGCGCCATCTAGACCCAAGTTAAGCAAGTTAAAGCTTGTGTTAAGGGTGTTAGATGTCTCATACAAATACATAGATATTATATCTATGTATTTGTATCAGTTATCTAACACCGTTATCTTTTCATAAGTACAGTTCAGACCGATACAAACAATCTTATGAATGCAATCGTTTGTGCCGTGTTAGGAATCGAACCCGCGACCATCGGACGAAAAGTAGTGTCCTTTACCGCTAGACCACCGAGGCCGTTAAATAATCACCTCTTAAGTTACGATAAGTCAATAATTATATAAATATAGTAATAATAATCTCTAGCTTAGTTTTTACAATTTAAGTTAATTTTAGAGGCACCAAGAGGATGTCAATACAATCCGTGGGTTGATGCCCCTTGGGTTTATGCCGAGTATAGTGCTTTGCCACGAGGCCCCAACTCCAGGGTTGATGCCAGGGTTAGGGGTTTTGAGGCCCTAACCTTGACCCCCCTAGGGGGTTCCACAAGATCAGTGTCAGTCATTTTAATGTGTATATATTGCTTTGCCACGAGGCCCCAACTCCGGGGTTGATGCCAGGGTAAAGGGTTTTGAGGCCCTAACCTTGACCCCCCTAGGGGGTTCCACAAGATCAGTGAGTCATTTTAATGTGTAATGCGCTCGGCAGCAGACGGTGGAGCGGGTGGATGGGGCGAGTGGTCCCCGTGGTCAGCGTGCCCCGCGCCCGCGCGGTGCTCCACGCGGACCCGCAGCCGCCACAGATTCTGTGATTCCCCGGCCCCGGCCTACGGGGCCAAATATTGTGAGGTATATTAATAATAAACATTTATTAAATTAATATAGTATACTATAGTACACTAAATAATTTTACAAGTACGCTCTTAAACAAGAGTTCTTTCGCTCAAAGAATGTGAGGCAAAGAGAACGAGAAGGACTGCGTGCGTCACCAGCTCGCGCATTCAGTCGACTTTTTGAAATAATTATATATAATTATTTATCATTGAAAGTTTATAAATCTTAGACGTGTCTGTCTTTTTTAAATATAATAATAATATCAGGACAATTCACACAGCGCCATCTAGACCCAATTTAAGCTAGCTAAAGCTTGTGTTATGGGTACTAGATAACTGATACATATACATAGATATTTTTTTTTGTAAATACATACATAATTAATTGTCATTGAATATTTATAAATCTTAATTGTGTTTTTTTTGGGAAAATATAATCTGTGGAAAAAAAAATTAAAAGACATTGATTTGGTATCCGCTCAATGACGCGCGAAAGAGTAAATATAAAAAAAAAAAAGAAAAAAGCAGTCAGTCGTGATTGGGCGTGCTGGCTTTCCTGCCTAAAACGTGCGCGCTAGACCTAGATATTTCTAAGAAATCATTAATAACAATCAAATCTCTGGATCTACTGAACCAATTAGAATTACCAATTTAGATTTTTTTATTCGTTACACAGTTCGTTTATCGAGAAATGTTATGGGCTATATAATATCACGCTACGACCATTAGGAGCCGAGCTGCAATCAAAAATATTGTAAAAATGGGCAAAATGTAACACAGACGAAGTTGCACGTGTCAGTTAGTTATAATCTATACATATAAATAAAATTGGAGTGTCTGTTTGTAATATTGAAATAACCTATTTTTATTACGTGCACCAAAATAACAGTTTTTACAATTTTTGTCTGTTTGTTCCGGCTAATCTCTGAAATGGCTGGACCGATTTTGACGGGACTTTTTTTGGCAAGTAGCTGATATAATAAGGAGTAACTTAGCCCAAGTTACTTTTATTTTAGAAAAATAAAGTTAAATTCCACGCGGACAAAGTCGCGGGAATAGTTAGTTATAAATAAACTTAATTCGTCTTGTTACTATCGTAGTTTTCATTGTTGACGATATCTCCTAGATACACTATTTTGACGTTGCGTTGCGTGGCAACTGTTTTATCAATAAATACCCAATATTCGCGGCGTATGTCACACGTTATCTGCATTATTATTTATTTTTAATGTGAATTGGTATTGAAACATGGCACCGAAAAAAGATAAAGGAAAAGGTAAAGAAGAAGAACAAAAAACCGGTGGTTTTACAGAAGTTGAGAGGACATTCTTGGAGTTACAAGTCGCCGAGTGTAATAGAAAAATCGCAAGACTACGCTCGGCTGTTGATGAATATGAACAACGTAATGATGAACTACAAAAGGCTTACGATAAATTAGATGAAGATAGAGCTGATATTATTGCTTATTTAAAGAAAACATTAAATCTTAAGAATGATGAAAATAATGAACTGAAGGATAAAGTTAAAGGCCTCGAAGAGACAAGGGAGATTGAAACGGCTCAGTTTAAGGAAACTGTTGCCGAGTTAGAAAAAAACTTTACATTGATGAAAGATCAGTTAACATCAGAAAATAAATTACTGGCAGGCAAATTAAATACGCTTGAAGAATTCAGAGCTATACGAGATGATTTAATGCGTAAGTTTGAAAAACAAGAACAGGATTTCAAAGATCAAGAAATGAAATATAAGAGAATTATATACGATGCAGAAAAGAAATTTGTAATTGGTAAAGATAAATTGAAGAAAGAAATGGAAGCACGGTTATTGCAACTAGCACAAGATTTTCAAGATGCCACTGAATTAAGAATAGCTGCTTCTACGCATAGAGTGATAAGAGAAAACATAGCAATAAATAACGAATTAGATAATATTTTATCTACACAAGCAAAATTAGCAGAACAAAACGAAAAGTTTAAGGAGAATGAAAAAGCTGCTCGCGTAGCTAAAGAATTAGCTGAAGAAGAAAGAGACAAGGCTATTAATAAAAATGTTGTACAGCTGAAGGTGATAGATCAGCTAACTACAGCTTTTCAAGAAATGAAGAAGAATAAGGCATTCTCTGATAAAAGAAACTATGATTTTGAAACTCAACAAGCTAAAATACAAAAATTAACTAAAGAAAACGAAAATCTTTCCATACAAGTTCGTATTTTAGAACAAAATTTACATGCACGTATGACTGATCAGAATAAATCTTCAGTAGAATCATCAAAAGTAGCAAAAGAATGTGCCAAACTTAAAAGTATTCTCAAAGAGGCAGCAATTGCTGTACAAGCTGCTTTAAAATTAGATAATTGGGCAACAACGGATCCTACTAGAGAAATAATGGACAGGCAAAGTCTATTATCACGTTTGCTTACTATAATAACACAGTACAGAGAAATCCAACGTGCGGAGTCTATGGATACTTTAGGTTCCTTTGGTAAAGTTTATGAAGAAGGTGACCTTGGATTTATTCCGAAACCTTTACCAAAGAAATCGGCCATATCTACGACTGCGTCGTTCGCATCGAGAGAGTCCTTGAAAGTTGAAAAACGTAGCACTTCTGCTATGTCTATTTCTTCATCTTCTCTTGGCAGTATGAAAACTATTCCTAGTGTGAAACTCATACCTCCATCATCTGATATTCAGGTAATCCCTAAGGATAGTGTCCCATCATTTATAACATCTGCTAAATCTACGGAAAGCGAGAGTGTAGAAGAAGGATCAGAGAGTGAAGAATTGACAGACATGGAAAAAATGTTGGCAGCGAGTAAATTAGAAATACAAAAATCTATTATGAAGGATTTGGAATATTCCCAAGTTGCAATGCATTCACAAGCTAAAGCTGATGATGAACCTGAGAAAACATCAAAATCTGCGATAATTTTTGAAGAAGGTGAAGCAGCAGGAGAAGAGGATGTAGAAGATGAACATACTACAGAGGGTGAGAAAGTACCAAAAGATACTGATGATAAACAAGAAAAGACTGAGGATCAAGTAGAGGAAAAGACAGAAGGTACTGAGTGAAGTGTTTGTTTAAATTTGTGTGTTTAGTGTGCTTTAAATACGCGTTATATTTTTATATCAAAAACATTTACACGTAAAAATAATTTCTTGTCGTATTTTTTATAATAAATATTAAGTAAAAATGGAGTATTTTCTTATAACTATTACGAATAAGTATTTTTGTTCCTATAAAAATGCATACTAGTGCACAATGTTTTCACAAGCAATGAGATGTTTATGATATATGATCTAATAATCGTGATTGATATTAGATTAGTGAATATTTTTGTAGTGCCATTTCTAAAAGGTAATGAAAATTAAGAATTAATATTTGAAACGTATATTAGATTATTCAAAAATATCTTGTAACAGATATCCTAACTCTACCTATGTTTTGTTCTTTTCATTCAAATTAATTCATTTAAGTCATAAAATAATGATTTAAATTATAAGAGACTTTATTTCTAGTGCATACAGAGGTTTGTATCTTATTGTAACTTTAGTATGACTAGACTATGATTTAGTATGAAATTCGAACAACTTTATTCAAATAAATTTGATTTAAACCCTTTTAACAGTGTTTTTTATTGTATCTACTACATTCTAAATGCAGATGGAAACAAGAAGAATGGACAAAAGTTTTAAAAAAAGTTCTGTAAAAGAACAAATTTTCTACAAGTTTATGTTTAAGATTATGTCCAGCCGTGGACTGCAGTAGGCTGATGATAATGATATTTATTCTAATCTTACCAGTTATTTAAACTAATCGCTAAGTCGTCAAAATTTGATCATAATAACTTCAAACATTATTAAGGTTGTATTGTCAAATATTCGCTTCACGTGTATAATATATAGATTACTTTGATAACCGCACCAAAACAATCCTCGATTCGCTGATTTCACAATTAACAATATTGACATTATTTGTCATTGAGTTATTGTTATCGGTCGTGTAATATAATGATAGTGTAATGTTTTATTTATTGACATAATGTAATTTTTAAGCCTAATTATAAAAATACTAACATTCTGCACTCCTTCTTTATAAAAACTTTAAGTGTGCTAAATTTCATACTCCTTCGTCCGCGCAGTTTTTGCAAAAAGGGGTACAAAATTTTAATTCACGTATTAATATTATGATCCTTCTTTCAAAGAGTAAAGAAAGTATACTTTCCTTTAAACAGGGTAATGCAGTGCAACTAGCAGCTTGTGAGTGCACTGCACCGACTTGGGCTGGTGATTCTCCAACTGTGGTGACAGAAGTCGGTCCCAGGTGCCGCTGTGGATGCGTACTACACTTAGCTCCAGCCGCGAGATTGTTGGCAGGGTCAGCTCGCGCCTGTCCTGCAAGATCCTTTTGGTTGCTACAAGTATGTATATTTGGTCTAAAGTAAGTTTTATTATTGTAATTTAACTTTACTGTTGTGACTATAAAATCACTTCATCAAAAAAATAATCAGCGGTCTTTATCAAAATAACTACTATCATATGTACGATTTTAGGCAAACTGTATATGTAGGATAGTCCACACAGTGCCATCTAGTCCTAAGTTAGGCTGAGCTGGAACAATTCTGGGTTTTCGGGTAATATCTATATGACAATCACAATCACACTCAGGATTATCTAAAACTTAATTTAGTGTAACACAGATATTGAATACAGAGTTTGGCTACTGCTTATAAATTACAATTTAGTTTATCAATATATAGTAGATTTCATCTGATATCAATAAATGATATATGTGGTTTCAATATCTGATACTGTAACCCAATAAGTAGATAGCGATATCAATGCCGACTAAAAGCACCTATACTACTACCTATGCCTAATTAGTAAGAATACATAATTTGTACATGTTTGATGAAATTAGTAAAGGATCAAAGTAATTGGTTCAGAGTTGACGAATATATCTGGTAACATATATATTCAAATTACAGAGAAATTAGAAACCTTCTCCATAATAATATCTGTTGAATGTAAAACTAATATAGCATTCGCAAGCAAAAGCTAATTCGCAATGTTATTTCATACTAGCCTTGCCCGCGACTATCTAACCCAAAAAAGACAAAGAAAAATGTCTAATCGTTCTAGCTTCAAAAATTACGATATTTTGTACAAATTTTCTTTCCCTATTTTATTTTACTCCCTTAAGGGTAACATTATTACAAATTTTAAATATCATGTTTAAATTTAAATAACAGCCCAGAATATGGGTATCATGGTTCTAGATTTAAAAATGACGATACTTCTATACAATCTTTTAACTCCCCTTTCAAGCCCTCACAACCCTTTCTTCGAATTAAAAAGTAGCCTATGCCCTCTCTCAGGGTCTATACTAAGGGTCTGTACTAAATTTCATTTAAATCGATTCTGTAGTTTTGACGTGAAAGCGAGACAGACAGATAGATAGAGTTAATTTATAATATTAGTATAAGAATAATTCCGAAATTTAACATTATTTTAACAAGTTAAAAGTCATTCACACCTTAATTAGTCGACTAGATCACATACTTAAGACAAAAAAGTAAAATGATGTGACAAATAATATAAACTGTAACTACAGATGACATAAACTGACTAGTTACTATGAAAATTAATCTAATAATATTAATATAATAATATCTACAGCAACATAACAATAACAAGTCAATAATCTCTATAAATGCCGCGTACAAACAACCGATTAAATTGGAATACGGTGTAGTTAATTTCAGAGCTTGCTAATCAATTGTTAGTATATTACTGAACGTTAATTTAACTTGTAATTGTTAACACAAGGTATCCTTGTTACGGTTTTGATTACAATAGTTCAAAAACTCTCCTGTTGTACATATAAACGTACCAATTTACTGTACTGTAACGAACGTACTGTTTTGTTTGGGCATACAATTGATTTATTAAATTAAAAGTTTCCTGAAACACAATACAGAATAAAATGTGCTGTAATAGAATTAAATTCCAACCAGTTTTCCAAACTAATATGACATCAACAGCTAGTTCAATCTATCTTGAAACTTAGCATTCACGGACAGTGCGGTTTCAAAGGAATTTCTCCCGCGCACACTTAGATTATGGAATGAACTACCTAACAAAAGTTATCAAGATTTATTAAGGGTAGATTACTGTAAACGTATACCATCAGATGTGCCATATGCTTGTTAGTATTGTGGTATAAAATAGAATACTATACGCTATAAATTTCAATAATATGTTTTTAAAAAACAGTTTCGTTTAATGTTCTCGAGAAAGAGATATATGCACTGTGTAAAGGATAATATAGCAAGAAAAGGAGTAAATAACGGAGATAACTGCGAGAGAACAGGTATGAATGGAAGAAAAGAATATATCACGCCGGATAAGGAAGAAGCAGATGATGAAGATTTCATTTGACGTTGTTGTTCTATTGCATACTCAAACAAAGATGTCGAAAATTTTGTAGCCTATTAAGTTCTGTTACTTACTAAAGAATGTTCTAAAAATGCTCTTAGTCTTCATCTGTTTCAGCTGATTACATTGTATATAAACTCGTTCCATCACCATGTCTCATACCATCGGTTTTGTCAACATTTTAACCATAACGACCTCAAACATTATAAAGTTAGCGAGTGCTTACTAAAAGACGAAGTAATGTCGCATATAACGAAGTTACGAACAGCCAATATGAGTTCGAGGCTCGTCGTTGGGCCATCAAGCGATTTTCGAATTTGATTCCGATAAAAGCGTGCTCCAAGCAGAAAGTTTATATGATACCTATTCGAATTTTGTAAAGTTTTAATTTATCTAATAACTTTACTAGGTGTAAGTTGTGCATGAAATTGTTAGTGTCTTTAGACTGTTGCAACTGCAATGATCTTGTTCGTTTTTAGTATCAACTTATATAAAAGAAGGACCTTTACTTGCCAGTACATTTAGTTTTATTTCATTTATTTGTTTATACCTTGTTTTTGTAAAAAAAACTACTTAAAGTTCATAGCGCTGACAATATCATCTGATTGCACTAGAAATGAGCGCGTAGCTGTTTCTATATTGATTATAGCATACTTCTTCCTTCTTAACACCTTCTAACACCTTTTCAAAAGAGCAATACGCAAGTTTTTTTGCTCATTCTTCTTGTGATGAATTTGCGTACCGAATGAGTGGTAGAATAAAAAAATATGACTATTCAAAAGTGCTTGTATTGAGTTTATTCGAATAAAGTTTCATTCTAATTATATTTCTTATACTCCATAATGTTACAGTAGTCATTGTATTATATTATTCTTAGGCTGAAGAAGGACTAGTGGTGCGCCTGCGCATGGAAGCAGTTAGACTACCATGTGCTGGACAGGCGCTGAGGGCGCGCGATGGAGACTCCCTGGGTTCACCTCTGCTGGCGTCTTGGGATGGCCCTGACAGCACTGCTGTGGTATAGACAACAAATATTATGATTATTCGTAACTGTAATTTCTTGTTGGTCTATATTTCTTAGTCAAACCTCTAGCGGTTGTTACTAATTTATTTTGGTGGTTTGGTATTAGAAGTGGTACATTAAATTTGGTCAGGGCGAAAATGCAAAAGTTAGTAGATTTTTGTATAATATGGAGGCAAGATTCCTTAGTCTTTTGTAATGGTACGATACTTACCACGTATAGTACAATGTAGTTGGTGACGTCGTCTATGTTGTTTATGTACGTAGATGACGGTTGCAACATTGCAGTAGTAGGAGCTTTTTTCTCAGGATAATTCACACAGCGCCAGTGCGGTGCTAAACCGCTAGATTCCGAGACCGTCGTTTCAATAATACTGAATATATAAAAATAATAATAAGTGAATGCTCTAGAGAACCACGATATTTGTGTACTATTCTTGACTTTAACTTGACTTGACTTGATTGTGTTATTAAATATAATATTTTTAAACAGGCTGGTGATATAGAAGCGACTACAGATAGTACTGGAGTGCTGGAGATAGCTGGTGGTCGACATATACTTGTTGAACTACGGTCCGGTGATACCAGCGAACGGTGCGCTGGAGGATTTCTTGCGCATGCGACGCAGATTGGTATGATTATAAAAACTAATAAATAAATAATGGTTTAATGCCAAAAATATACTTATGCTACAGAATATAAAGATTAAGTTAACTTCTTTTTACTTGTAAAATCAAAAACATTAGTTCATGTAACATTAGGTGTGATACGTATTTTTTATGTTTCATCTTCTCTTTTTTGTCTAATTGAAGAAATACATTATTCTTTGTAAATATAATAGTTCTAAAGTCGTATTTTATTCATAAATTCCTTCCATTGATAAGACATTTATTAGATCATCATGTATGCAGTGAATTTGTTTTGTCATTGAAATGATTTTCTGCATTTTTATCATTTAGTTTAAATAAAAATGTCCCAAATATTTTTTCCTTTTTTCCTGACCCTCTTCCATATTCTTACTATCTCTTTGACACTCATATATTCTATCAATCTCACTCGTTAATCTTCATTTACTCTCGCTTCTGTTATACTATCTCGTTATTATAAATCTTATTCACCTGTTACTGGTGGTACGTGCATGTGAGAATGAGAGAGGTTCTCATTCTCACATGCACAGACCACCAGTGTCTAGAACTCAATACAAATTTCCAGAACCAATTCGCAACGTGTCAGCTGCGTGGGCCTCAATAAGTACCACAAATTGGTGGCACAACGGAGGCGGCGCTCGCGGCGTCGCAGTCACGTTAGCGGCCACCGCCGCTCTAGCCGCTTTATGTTTAGCGCTGCATTCAGCACATCGGACTCGTGCGTACCAACGAGCTGCTGATAAGGACTCGCTTACTGACAGCGATGGTAAGAGCTTGATGACTGTTTTACTATAATGGAATGTTGGAAGGATAAGGAGGAATGGAGTGGAAGGATTGCTAAACATTGACAATAATTCCCATTATTGTCAATAAGAGCCGGGTCCTCGGGCTCCCTAAAATATTGTCGAGCACTGTGATGGCTGGCTCCGTCATACTCGTAAACGAGTGCTGATGCTCGAGTGCAGTGATGGCTGGCTCATCCGTCATGTTAGTGAACGAGTGCTGTGTGATGGGTAGCTCATCCGTCATACTCGTAAACGAGTGCTGATGCTCGAGTGCAGTGATGGCTGGCTCATCCGTCATACTAGTGAACGAGTGCTGCTTCTAGGAACTGGTCTGCTCTAATCACTACGACTGACTTATTTAGTTATTCAACCAGTTGGTTGTATATTTAATATTTTCTCTATTTCAATATTTAATTGTAATTAGTATTAGTTGTGTTTTTCACTATGCGGTGCTGACAACCATGTTCTATATTCAAGTACTTTGTTGTATTTTTATTTAAAATATTATTATATTGCTAGTTACTTCTTCCCAAAAGAATGTCTGCTGGTCTAGCGGCGTAGTTATCAGTATTATCAACCATATGCATGTAGTAAAAAACGGTTATTTCAATATTACAAAGAGACTCCAATTTTATTTATATGTATAGATTATAAATAAATGGAAGATGGATTATATGTCTATATATTCTAAATTGTTGAATTTTTCTGACTGCTATATATAGTATAGTTTACATGTGACATTTCTTTGAGAAAAATCTCACAAGGAAATTGAAAAACGTGACGTGTTCACGTAAAATATTTACGTTTTAGTACGATAAAATTCATTGCTACACATCGAGTGTTAGATATTCTATCTAACACAGATTCTATCTATCTTAAATAGTTTTACTAGATTTTTTTTACATCCGAATTAAAAGTACATACATACATCTATACATATAAATAAATAAATGTTTGTAATATTGAAATAACCGTTTTTTACTACATGTATATGAATAGAAATACGGTACATACACCCAAAAATTTTTTTTACAATATTTGTCTGTCTATTTGTTTCGGCTAATCTCTGAAATCGCTAGACCGATTCTGACGGGACTCTTTTTGGCAGGTTACTGATGTAATAAAGAGTAACTTAGGTTACTACTTTTATTTTAGGAAAAATATTTTTTAACATAAAGTTAAATTTCCTAGTTAAATTCCCTAGACAATACACTCACCAATGTATAGTCCTACTATATAGCATATACCATATCAAGTTGACCTCCACGCGGTTTCCCTGGAAACCATCAGTACATATTCTTGGAGAATTTTTCTAGATGGGCTTACAAATCTGACTTCAATCTCATCTTATCATCCTCCACAGGTGCCCCGCCAGCATATACCCTTAGCATAGGGTGCATCATTACATTGTCAACCATTAAAATAAAGTCTTAAGATAAACAGAGCTTGTATTATGGGTACCAAGCAACTGATATAAATACTTAGATATGTTTTTGTAAATACATACATAATATACATAGAAAACACCCAGACCGATACAAACTATCATACTAATGAATACAAATGTTTGCACCGTGCTAGGAATTGAACTCGCGACCATTGAAAGTAAAGTGGTGTGCTAAACCGTTAGACCTAGAATTATTTTGTTAATTCCGCTACCATTACCATTTCACACATCATCATCATCATCATCGCAGCCCGTAAGACGTCCACTGCTGGATATAGGCCTCCCCCAAAGATCTCCACGACGATCGGTCCTGCACTACTCGCATCCAATGCCTTCCAGCGATCTTGACCAGATCGTCGGTCCACCTCGCTGGAGGCCTTCCCACGCTGCGTCCTCCGGTCCGTGGTCGCTACTCCAGGACTTTACTGTCCCAACGGCCATCTGTCCTACGAGATATGTGCCCTGCCCATTGCCTCTTCAGTTTTGCAATTCTTCGGGCTATCTCGGTCACTCTGGTTTTTCTGCGGATCTCCTCATTTCTGATTCGATCACGCAGAGTAACTCCGAGTATAGTCACATTTCACACATATTCATTGCGAAAATCTGACCACCGTTACTAGAAATTGACTTCCGCAAAATTACATATATAATTCTAGAGATACATATGTGTACAATATGTGACCATTATCAGTAAAAGCGACGGATGAAAGACGACTGCATGCAACTGAAATGCGAATGTTGAGGTGGATGTGTGGTGTGACAAGAATGGATAAGATAAAGAATGAATACATTAGAGGAAGTATGAAAGTGGCCCCGGTGTCAGAGAGGTTGAAGAGTAATCGACTATCATGGTCTGGACATGTAATGTATAGGAATGAGGATAATATTTTAAGACAGGTGTTACATATGAATGTGGATGGTTATAAGGGCAGAGGAAGGCCGAAAAAGAGATGGATGGACTGCGTGAAAGATGATATGGTAAGAAAGGAAGTAAATAACGCGATGACTGCGAACAGGGATGAATGGAAGAGAAAAACATATTACGCCGACCCAAATAATGGGATAAGGAAGAAGCAGATGATGATGTGACAGAAAATTAACATTATCTATCTAATATTTTCCTTTCTTTTGTCTAGCATGCTCAGCTTCACTAGAACTTGGTGGAGCTACAGCTGGCTCTCGAAGCACGCTCCTGTCGGAGGTGGTTGGTGGTGGGGTCTCGTTACGGCGTCTTCTACCTTCAGGGAAGACCAGGCACACGAGGCTGAGGGATTCAGATCGGGCTTCCGAGACTGTTGAACAGAGGTAAGTTGGCATCTTAAGGTTCATGTTATATATAAAACTAGCTTTTGCCCGCGACTTCGCTCGCGTTAATTTATCCCCTTAGGTGAGGAATTTATCAAAATCCTTTACTAAGGGGATGCCTACGTCATAGTAGATTTATGCATGCAAAGTCTTAGCCCGATCGGTTTAAAATTGACAAAGTTTCATACAAACTTTCAACCCCTATTTTATCGCTTTGGGGGTAGAATTAATCAGAATCCTTTCTTAGCGGATGCCTACGTCATAACATCTACCTGCATGACAAATTTCAGCCCGATCCGTCCAGTGGTTTGGGCTGTGCGTTGATAGATCACAATGGCAGTCACCTTTGAGTTATATATATATATAGATTCTCGTGTCACAATGTTAGTTACCATACTCCACCGAAATGGTTTGACCAATTTTTATGAAATTTTATATGCATTTTCAGTAGGCCTGAGAATCGGTTACTATCTATTTTTCATACCCCTAAGTAATAAGGGTTGTCCACACCTAACATTTTCTATTCTTATACAATTTTTTTTTTATGATATGGCATTAAAAAATAAGTACAACCCCGAATGTCTATCACCGTTGTGTCTATCAACAACCTCTATTTTTTAATAGCAATATTAGTATTGAAATTTATATGGCAAAACAACGTTTGCTGGGATCAGCTAGTCTTATATATAAAATTCTCGTGTCACAATCTTAGTTACCTACCTACCTTACTATACTCCTCCGAAACGTTTTGACCGATTTTTATGAAATCTTATATGCATATTCAATAGGTCTAAGAATAGGCTACTGTCTATTTTACATACCCCTAAGTGATAAGGGTTGTGCATCCCTAATATTTATTACTATACTTACTACTATATTACTTTCTAAATGATTACTTAAATGACAACAGTTGTTCATGCACTGGATTTTCATTTAATGTTAGATATAAGCACCTACATAAGTAAACAATATAAATAAACTGTCTTTAAAAAGAAGAAAAAAGAAACTCAATAGAGTTTATAGTTCTTGCCAGTTCTTCTAAATTGAATCTGTATACTGAACTGGACGATGAGAAAATAAATATTACAAAAATAACTGTAAGGCCTCCAACAAGGTTGGACCGACGATCTGGTCAAGATCGCTGGAAGGCGTTGGATGCGAGCAGCGCAGGACCGACCGTCCTAGAGGTCTTTGGGGGAGGCCTTTGTTCAGCAGTGGACGTCTTCCATGCTGAAATGATGATGATCATCATAAGCGGCTAATATGTCCTACATGAATAAATGATATTGGATTTGATTTCATAACAATCTTACAGTTACATTTTAAATGTGAACTTACAAGGATTATTTAAAAGAGCAACACAAAATTATTCTTGCTCATTCTTCTTATGATGAGACAGCTCCGAATGAGCGGTAGTTAAAAAAATGTTATGACTATTCAAAAGTGCTTAAATTAAGTTTATTTGAATAAATGATTTTCTTTTCTATAATATTATTCTATTCTATTGACAATATATCTTTTAAACCGATTCAAATTAATTACCAATACTTACAGCCCAATTGTCAAGTAGGAGGGTGAACACAAAGTAAAACTTGTATAAAGTAGTTAATAACAAAGAGCTCCCTCTTAATATATGTAGTGCTATTGTTTTGACACGTATCGCCTCTAGAACACGATGGAGTACCTTGTTATATGTTTATTGTTTTCAATAACTTCATTACGAAAAATACAGCAAACTTTTTCATTGATGATATTTGTTTTCATTTTTAACTAGCTGTTCCCGCGAATCTAACTTTAGTTTTGTTATTACACTTGAATAAAACTTTAAGAGCACATACAAAAAAATACTTTTTATTAAACACCCGAAAACGGACAACTGAATTTTTAAATATTTGTAAGACCAAAAACTGCATTGTAATTATTCTTTGATAATATTACTTTATTTTTACTATTGAATTATTATTTTATTCTTAAAACCTTTAAATATGGAATTATATTGTTTTTCTAAACTTGGATTATTATGTTATCCTATGTCTATTAAATTATCCGTCATACTCGTGAACGATTGGTCGCCTCTAATTACTACGACTGATTTACTCTTATTCAGTTACCCAACCAGTAATTACTTAACCTGTTTTAATATTTTGACACTAATCAATTACTGATAGTTGGTATCCAAACACTTTTCAAATTATTTAAAAAACTTTATCTGAATAAAGAATTATCTATTTTTAAAATCACTAGTATCCTGACGACTTAGGCGTAATGCCGGTTAGTCAGGGAGAGAAACACCTCAATGCCTACAATATTCACAATTACCTATTTCTTATTTGTTTTTATATCAATATAAACACTTTCGCTCCAAAACTCCCGCTGCTTCCGTTCTATCGTCCGTCATCCACTTGTCAATGTCACATAGATTACTTTGGCTCTGGCCTCTGACGTTCCGTTTCAGGTTACATGATTATTGACTTTACCATTTTTAATTAATGGTGCGTCACACGATAGTTAACAGTCGGCCATCCTGCAATAGTGTCTGGCCCAGACACATAGGTAACTGATGAGCGTAGTCATGCTTATCAAAGGATATAGTGTCTACAGGATCATATAACAAATACTAAACTAAATAAATTAAAGATACACATTACTTTCATAACATTGACTATCTTAGTATACTGTCAAAGGTTTACAATCTAAAATCAATACTAACAGAGCTAAGTTTCGGCATGCATTCAGAATTGCACAAAATATAACATAACATATATTAATTTACATAATCCAAATCACCCAAAAACATGAACAACCTTTTAGAGTAACAAACAATTATTTGGCGGTGAATGACTTCTATGAGTGAGACTGTAACATATAATGTAAGTTTCCGATCTTATGAACATTGCATTTTTTTTTATACCTCCAAAATAGAACTTGACATTTCTCATCATGAATATTTTAACGGATAAATTTAACATATCACATTACAAAAGGTAAAACTTAATTACCTACATATATAGAAAAAATATATAAAGAGAAAGTAATATTCTCGTGACATAAAATTAGAACAAAATCGCTGCCTGCCTTCACCTAACCATTAGAAAATAACAGGTCAATATTATTCAAGTGGTTCTAATACCCTCAATACTACTACTACTATTTTACTTCGACGATACTCTTGATTTACCAGAGAATTATTTTAATATAACATAATTCATTGAATTTCAGTTATGATTTACTTAATAATACCATCAGCTCACTGGTCAAGTAATCTATTGCATCCTTTGAACCCTGTACATTTAGGGGACTATAAATGATTGTAGATACTGATCTCAATTTTCTTTACAACACCAGTTTAACATAAACCAAAACCCACTGTTCCAGATTAATGTGAAATAGAAATAATCTTTATTCAAATAAACTTAATATAAGCACTTTTGAGTAGTCAAGTTTTTTTTTAATCTATCGCTTATTCGGAACGCAGATTCATCACAAGAAGAATAAACAAGAAACCTGTGTGTTGCTCTTTTAAATAAATATTGATTTACTTATATTTAATTAACAACAAGGATTAGGCATGCGGCAATCAACATAAAAACTGCTACGCACTTAATCTCCGTTCAATCAGACAACATTGACAGAGCTATGAATTTCAAGTTAGATATTTTCTAAAAAACATTGATTTATAAATAATGATGACATTTATAAATTCTTCAATTTTATAATAAGCTTTTTTTTTACAAAGAAAATATTTTATGACACATTTGATTTCTTTTTCTGGCAAATTGAGTACAGACTCTGGGAGTTCGTTGCAAAACCTTGCGCAATTTCCATAAAACGAATTACTAACTTTCGTCAAATGAACGTGAGTTTAGTAAGCCTACTATTCACTTTATATTTAATCGATGGTATTCGTAGCCACTTCGGCCATCCAACGTTATCGAAGGGCCTCATTCGATATTATCATAACAGTTAACATCGGGTAATATAATAAAATTAAAATCATATAAAATTTAGTTTGAGATAATTTACATACTTAAAATATGAAAGTTGCCACTGACAACTACACATTACATTTCAACATCATGAATTCAGTCTTTGTTATATTTTTCCGCCTTAAGTTGTATCACTTAATTTTTCACACCAGGTACTAGTCAGCATCTCTGCAAACACGGCTGCCTAGCTAATTAGTGAAATACCTGTTAAAACAAAACATTAAAAAAATGCCACCGCTTGCCCACTATGAGCTACGGTCTCAATAGATCTGGATTTTATTAGACTCAGCCACCGCTTGCCCACACAAGGAGCTACGGCCTCAAACTGGTCAGATTCTCATTAGACTCAGCCACCGCTTGCCCACACAAGGAGCTACGGCCTCAAACTGGTCAGATTCTCATTAGACTCAGCCACCGCTTGCCGCCACAAGGAACTACGGCCTCCAACTGAAACACATCAAATATTTAACAACTGGTCATTTTCTCAATGAGGCATTCACCGCTTGCGCACGCAAGGAGTTACGGCCTCCAACTAGTCATATTCTTTATGGTACTATGCTATTTTTACTTCAGCCTCAAGTGATCTACATTGCAACTCAACTATGGGTTATATGCACTCCCATCAAATTTTACTTTTTATTCTATTACATTTTTTAAGAACTGGATTTCCTGGTTCCATTTTACTATTTCTCCAACGCTTTAAAGGACTTTATAATATTTAATCATAAGTTAATTCAATTTAATTATGTACCAAATTCGAATTATATATCTGGTTGATATATATCTATCAATTTCTGAACGAACTTGCAATATATTACTACCACATACCCTACTCCTATTATTATCTACCAAATCTTGAGTAGCATCAACAAAAAGCGAGTCGTTCGTTGTACGTCGCATTGAGCACACGCGGATCCCCATTTTCTCCGTGAACTAACGTATACGGAACCATTAGCCGCGATCTCAGCGCAATCATCTCATCAGTATATCATCAAATCTAAATCACCATCATTT